AATAAAAAATAAAAAAAAAAATAAAAAAAAAAAAAAGAGAAGCCCAATCATTAATTACGACAACTAACATTAACTGATGATATGCCTTTCTGAATGTGGAGTTGCTGCATCATCCAATACGTCGTCATTTCGGCTGGGTTTTCTGGAATTTCTTCACGTAAAAGAAAGAAAATAAATTAAATTACCCAGTAATATTTATCCTTGCGTAAATGATTACGACTTGAACTAATTTAATTATATTTCTGTTTCGGATAAGTATTTAAATATTCAAAATTGCATTAGTATTTAAAATGATCATAATATGTGTTTTTTGGCTTGTATATATACCAGATTGTGGTGCATTAGAAACTGTATTGTTACACAAAACGAGTACAAACTAGAGCACATTCCACAAAATCTAGATGATTATGTTGTATTTGATACCATAAGGGTGGAGATGTAAGAAAAAAACATAGTTGAGAGGGTAGATGTAATTATTCAAACAAGAGGGTTTTTTCGTAAATTGACCATACCTCAGGGATTGTTGTAATTTATCCTAAAATTTATGTAATTCGGTTATTACCGAACCAAATCGTATATTCAGTTCGGTAAACAGTATGAAATGTTGGTGTACCAAAATTTTGGTTCAGTTTTACCGATTTAACATCCTAAAATTACCTCTGATGGGGTATTTTCGTAAGATAATATAAAGTTGGTGGGGTTGCTGTAATTACTTAAACATGAGGGGGTTTTTCATAATTTGATCATAATTCAGGGGTGGCCGTAATTATTGGGTGTAGCATCTCTAAAATCGTAATTATCTGTATTTTTTTTTTTAATTTCATTATTAAATTGAGAAATAAAACATCAATTAAGGAAATATATTTATATACAAGTAGTTTGTATATAAGGAAATATATTTTCCTTATAGGATACAAACTAGATTCCTTATAATCCAAATACAACACCAATTCCTTACGTTACAAGAATCCTCCCTTATAAATATACACTAATACCTAAACACCCTAAACACAAAATCAGATTAATCCATCTTCTTCTTCTTGTTCTTGTTCCTATTTTCTTTTTGAATATTATATTTTCAGTTTGTTCCTCTTCTTCAAGAAAAAAAACAACAATGTCGGAATCGGAATCATCGTCCGATAATAGCGAGCGGGAATCATTGTACGATAATAGCGAGTGGGAATCATCGTACGATAATAGCGAGTGGGAATCGAATCCAGAACCCCGACCTCTTTTCCAAGAAGTACTCCGTTGCTTTCCGATCAAGGCATACAAGAACCCTAATCACGAAGTTGGCGATAAAATAATATTGCCCTCTTCGTCACTCTACCAAATCTACGAACAGAGGATCAAATTCCCGTTAGTTTTCAAGCTCCAGAGTTTCAAAGAGGCCGCGGTTCCATCATACAGCGGCGTACTGGAATTCGACGCGGAAGAAGGCAACGTATATCTGCCAGGGTGGATTTTTCAGAATCTTGGAATCGAAGAGGGAGATAATATAGTTGTGAGCAATGCGTCCAACGTATTGAAAGGGTTTTACATGAAACTCCAGCCTCACACAAAGGCGTTCACCGAGCTGAGCGACCCGAGGGCGGTTTTGGAAAAGGTGCTCAGGGAGTTCACGTGTTTGGGCAAGGGGAGCACGATCGCCATCAAGTATAATCGAGTGGATTTCTACTTTGACGTTTTGGATGTGAATCCGGGTGATGTTATTACGTTGATTGATACTGACTGTGAGGTGGAATTCGCGCCGCCGTTGGATTATGTGGAGCCTCAATCGGACGGTGGAGATTCAATCAAGAAAATTGACCGTGGTAAAGAGCCAAAGGAGGAGGAAGGAAAGGAGTTTAGGCCCTTTATCGGAAAGGGGCGGCGTCTGGATGGGAAGAATCCGGTGGCGGCAGTGGTGGAATTGTTGTCGGAAGTGGTGATCGGCGAGAAGAAGAAAAGAAGCGGGAAAGAGGAAGTAAAAGAAGAGTTCAAAACCTTCACAGGCAAGAGTCGTGTTCTCGGAGTACCGCAATTTTGACTTATTTTTATTTATTTATTTGTATTTACTTCTTTAGTAGGATGATTGTGTTCTATATTTCTTTCTAGCAAGTTGATTTGGTTTATCAAGATTGATTTTTTATTTCAATTCTTTGTCGTGATTAGTATATTATTTTTGGCACCTGTTTGGTAGATTTAATTTTTTTTTTCCTAATAAATATTAAGTTAATTGAAAAAAAAATATTAATTAGTTTTAATAATTGAGGTCCAAAACTCATTAATATCCACAGGTGTATCTGCACAAGGTAAAAGAAGCACATAATAATAATTCAATTGGATTAGTAATTATGTAGCCATTTGCAATAAACAACTTGAGAAATCGTATTTTTCGTTCAATCGCATCGTACATGCACAAACACACACCAACAGCGGTGAATATACATACGTAAATACCATATACCTGCAATTTGATCAGTTATCGCTGCATATAAGCACACGACTAGCAAACCAAACGGATGATACGGATTTTAGATAGTATAAACGGCCTCGTTTTGTTCCCGCAGTGGGGCCCGGTTGTATAGTTGAACTAGGAAGTTCAATAAACAGTTTCATAAACAAGTCGAGATAAATTAAAAGATGATAAGAGATGAAGTTATTGCATTAATCAAACACCAAATAAAACCCGGTAATTCTACTAATCACGAACATATCCGTGCAATCTAACAAAGACCAAGATACAATACAAAGATATATATATAAAATCGAGATTTCAGAAGTGATTACTTGTGAGTAATGAAGCTGCGATTCCTGCAACTTCTTCGAGATAAAAAACGAGGAGAGAAACTATTTTATTGAATTAAACGTGAGCACAAGATTGTGTTTTTCATGTATGAGAATGAGACGATACATCTCTATTTAAAGGAGAAGAGTTTGTATCGTAAATTACATAAGATTACTCCAAATCCTAGATAAACTCTATCTTATTGAACTACCATGTTGGGGTTGAACTCGTTGCTACAGGACTCCAAATCACTTGGGATTTCTCGGTCAAGATTTACATGATTTGTAGGACTCTTCATCCTTATCTCTCCAGATATTGTGAGACACCTTATCACTCCAAGAGTCCTCCAAATCACGAACTGTTGGCACAGTTGTTGCCACAGTTGGGGTTCTGCCAATG